CTTTCTTCTAGTTAGCAAGCTGGAGTTGGATGGAGCTCACCCTATTGAATTCTTTGGAAATGGAAGTCTGATGGGCTGTCAAGTAAGCTGTGTGAAAACGACGTGCATCAGAGTAATGCCTGGGGAAGAGCGCTGAATTCACAAGGGACATTTTATGTGACAGCATGAGAATTGTATTCAGGGTGAAGTTTATGTTAAACAGAGATCTGTTTAGTCTTAATATTTCATTTTTGGTGTGTAGGTAGGCACCAAGAGACACATCAGAAGCCAATGGCCTGCAGCTCATTCACAGTCTCTCTGCATAAAATTCACATTGGTGGGGAATAATTGGAACCACTTTTCACATTATAGAAGCTTCTTAAGTGCTGTAACCAGAGAGTCCCCTCCACAAGGGAAATATTCTTTCCATTTACAGGCCACCTAAGTCAATTCTTTGTTCTGCTTCCCTGTGTAGTCTCCTTGCACTTCTTCAGAGGCTACAGGGTGAAGAATGGTGTCCCCCCATTTCTCCAGTGCGTGTCCTACGAACAGAGTGCCGCCCAGGGAAGGCTGGGCCCAAAACCACTGCTTCTGCCCCAGTGAAAGGTGATGGACATGCAGCACCATCCAAGAGTCAAAATGTTGAAAGAGAGGGATGTGTCTTCCAAATAATTATATGTTCTGTTAGAAACATCTTAGAGGCTTCTGTCATTCTTACAGAAGAATGCCAGGCAACTGGTGTCCTTCCACTTCCTATGAACTCGCACTTGAAGCTGTGCATAATTACTGCTGCTTGACTAACTGTTGGCTGCCACAGGCAGTTCTGACTGTTGTGCCATTGCCTACTTGAAAGGTTGGAGGGTTCTTTACTTGTGGACATGTTTGGCAAAGCAATAAATATAATATATGCACATGGGGACCATGTCCTTCAATATCCAGCTTAGGCTGCACTGCAATGGCCTCATCTGGAAGACCGCAGGATTTGGAGGAGATGGTGAGGAAGAGAAGGAGGAGATGGTGAGGAGCCCCAGAGTTAAACCACTTCCAATTGGCACCCGGCCTCCTCTGTTCCCCTCCCTGGTGCTAAATCTAGATGCCTGAAAACAGCTGTCTAGATTAAATGCAAGGCGCAAGTTGTGATGGAGGCAGAGATTGCCGCTGCCACGCTTCACACTTTGCACTGGATGTTCGTAAGCCTCCATGTTCAGGCACTTATGAGCACCTGTCATGGGGGCCATAGGATTGTTCTCTTTTTACAAAGGTGTAGGAGCTTCCATGTAAATCAGTGGAAAAGCTGGAAATGCTTCACAGGTTGATGTATGATTGTTAGAACGTACGGTTATTTCCTGTTAAATGCTAGTTGCACAATACTAGTCCTTGCTCTTGCATCTTCCCTGCTGCCGTTGCATGAATGCACACACGTCCCCTTGATTGTTCGCTGTCTGATAGATGCTATATCACTTGAGCTATAGAAATCTGCATTGGTGAATTTAAACAAATTATTTGGCTGTTTGCAGTAAGGCACAGATCACAGGGGAAAAAGTCAGTTCTCCTCTCAAGCAAACACAAATATTGTACAAAGCAGTATAATATTTTAATAAAATTAAATCTAAGTATTCGCAAGGCATTCTAAATGTACAGTGTATTTGCTTCACTTAAAGCCTATGGACCTTTGCTCAATTTATTCTAGTAAAGACAGCTTTGGGCAGCAGTTAAATATCCTTGGTTCATAATAAGATTTATGTGTGAACTTTAAATGAATTCACACGCACACGCATGCATGCAGTCGCATATGTATTTGTCCTTCTATACACGCACAAATTAGATCAAAAGCTTATCTGTGCATATATAGAGGCCCATATTTTATAGGCATATATTTTAGGGTGTTATGATATTTTACAGCTCTCTGAAGATTACTTATCTGAAGCGACACTGAAGAGCACTGGATGATGGTTTACACCCACTTTGGGAGGATCTTTTGAACACCAGGCCATCGTGTTGGTTCAGCATGTGTCTGGGGAACCCTCGCCCAGTCAGAACGCTCTGTGATAGCACACGTCCCCTAGGGAAGTTGCAGTGCTTCCCTTGAAGGAGTCACCCCAGGGCTTGACAAAGGTCCCATTCTCACCAGGCTGCAGTGGGCCCTGAGTTCGGGTGACTTGCACTGAGCCAAGGAGGAGGGCTAGATGGAGAGAGGGGAGGTAGAAGCAGGCCTTTGGGTTCCTGTAGTGACCCATCTACTGTGGCAGGTTGAGTGGCCATGTGTGCTTGTTCGCATACAACAGCTCTGCATTTATTGACGGTCTGTCCAGTCCAAGCCTGGTATAAAGACGATGGCCCATAAGAACGAAGGCCTTGAAGTTGCCCTTCAACAGCACTGGGACAACGGCATCTTGCACGGTTGCTTGGTAATGGTCCTCTGAGGCATGGTAAGATATACTGCATCTCTCTTTAAATGATAATTTCTAAATTTGCATCTCTCCATATAGATTAGCATATGGAAAGTGCCTTCTTTTCTCTTCTTTGGTGATGCATTTCATTTTTCTGGGCAATGAGCTATCTGACATGCTACTTGCGTTTGGGTTTGTGCTAAGGGAAACGGGGGCAGTGGGAGGGCTGGGCTCTGCTCTCACCATGTGAGCACCACCCTCGTGGTAGGACTGATAAAGGGGAAATCCGCTGCACCTTTTAGGAACTGCAACATGGACAGCAGTAAGTACATTGGAAAGGAGCTGCAAAAAGCAAGGCAGAGTTAGTACCTTTCCCTTTAGGAGAAGCCGGAGACTTGAGGACATGCCAAAGGAGAACAGTGAGAACGTGTCAATTCAACACTGAAAAACCAGAAGATCACATTGCCAAGGGAGAGATCTTGCCCTCTGCTTTTGGAGCACTTTTGCTGCTTTTCCTGCCTCTGCCACCACTTTCATTGACAGCCAGGTAATTGGGCGCAAAATAAGCTACACACAGCCTTGCCATGTCAATCTGTCATATCAGGGCAGTCCAACTTTTTGTACCTCAAGGGCCGTCTGAGGACTTCAGTGTGGAAAGTGGGGGCTGCCAATGAATTTCTGCATATATCACAGGAAGCTCTTCTCCAGCCGCAACCCAGGCACAGCGACTGCTCCCCTGGGGTGGCCCACCCCTTTCTCCCCTGTTTCTCCCACCCACAAACCCCCCATGTGACCCCCCCAGGCCCCTCTTCCTTCTTGGAATTGGCCCACTGAGCCTCTTCTACTTGAGCCAACGCACTCTCCCAGCAGGCCCCACACACAGGAGCAAGCGGGGGCAAAGCTCTTGTGAGGCTGCCAGGCCAACCAGCTCCCTTCCCGAGCCTCAGGAAGAGAGTGGGGCAGGATAGCAGCCTCAGGAGAGCTATGCCATTGCTGGGATCCAGGGGGGGGGGATGGGGAGCTCCGCGTGGCGAGAGGGCTGCAGGACAAGGTCTTGGGGAATGCATGCGGCCCGTGGACCATGTGTTGGGCCACTCTGTGCCATATACTCCACTTAGCTGCTCCTTTTGTTGGCTGAAATAGAGAAGAGGATTGACCAGGCATCCTGAAGGGCAAGAGTGTGCTTGTGAACACGCTTGTGAATGACCATCTGATGATGTTGCCGATGAATTTAACAACACTGCAGCAGCATAACTTCCAGGGACAAAAAAAAAAAAAAAACAGCAACACACAACCCAATTCGCAAACCAGTGCCAGTCATTTTGAAGTGCCACTTGGGCACTGGTGGACTGGTGGTCACTGGTGGTGGCATAAGTGAAAACACAAGAAACAGCAGGAGGGGGCGCTGTTCTTGCCAAAAAGCTTCCTAACCAATCCCACAAACTGTGATGAAATTGCTTTCCCAGGTTTGGATAATGTTTCAATTCATCACGGGTTGAATAACCCTTGAACAAGCTATATGTTGTCACAGTGGATTGTTGCCATTTTCTTAAAAGTAAGGCACACTGTGAGAAGCAGTCTCGGTTCAGATGGTGCAACAACCTACCATGGCTAACTACTCATGATGGGTAGGCCTGTTGTACGAACCAGATCATTGCCAATTAATACACTTTATTAAAAGGTGACTTGGTGATTTTTGTCAGAATGCCCTAAAGTTCAAACTGCCCCATGGTGAGCCTGTGCATGTACTTGCATCCCTGTGTGCACAGGGGCTTGTTGCTGCGAAGAGATCTGAAACCACAACTGTGACCATCATCAGAAAATATCCTGATTACCCAGCTTATTCCATTCTTTGCACCAAATTAAAAAGAACAAAGTCTTCTGTATTATGTAGAAATTAAATTTATTGCATCTGATTATGTTAAAGGGTCTTGACAGCTACCTGCCTTTGCAGGGTGGCAGCTTACATCTATGATTAAAGTAAGTATAAAGAAAAATAATTTTAAAATAACAATTCATCTGATGTGGATGCAAGCCATTGAAGATGCATTCCATTTTTTTAGCCCAGTTGCTCAAGCTGCCCACCCCCAAACAAAGTTATTTATTTTTTAATGGTGTTTTACATAGTAACGTTCAAACCGAGAGGACTCAGCTGCTCTGGTCTTTCCCAATGTTGCAGAATGGCCATGACAAGTGTAAAAAGCTCAATACCAGAAGGGTAATTGTGTTTTTTTCCAAAATGTAAACTGGAGAAAAGTATTACTTGAACCACAGAGTAGCTCGAGAAAAACAAGTCATTTCTGTGGACCATCATCATCATTTCTGAAGGCATTTCCGCAATAAAATAGGATTTCATTGAAAACAGTACATAGTAATCTCCATGCAACAGAACTGTAATCATTTCCAAACATGCAGGTGCTTTAAAAAAATTAAAAAATATAAGGTGCCTTGAGAATGCTGGCAGTTTTATATTTGGAACATACAGTTTGTTTATATATATATATATTTATATATATTTATATATTTACATTGTTACTGGTTAACTTTACCTTACAAGCTACAAAGTTAGGAAAATATACAGTACTTTTGCATATAATGGTATATCCTTGTAGCCCCTGAGTCAAGTATAGAGGATTTAAATACAAAAGAACCAAAAACAAAACCAAAAAAAAAGGAAAAAAACCCCAGCCATTAAAAGCACTTACATTTTAGGTAAGGGTTATTTCCCAGGAAGACCAGGATCAGAAACATGCCTATGGAGACCCAAGATTCCTACAGTGCTTAGGGGAGAATCAGGCAAGGATGGGTGTCTAACTGGGTGGAGGCCGGTCTTACAACGTCGCGGGGGCAACTCTAGAGTCTGGCCATGCTCCTGCTCCAGAAAGGATGCCAGGTTGTCTTCCGAAGCCGTATTAAGATGCACTCCACTCGAGAGGGATTCTTTGGATTTCAGTTTTGATTTTTCAAGGTCTAGGAATTCAGGACACTGAGAAAAGGAAAGAAAATGAAAATGGTTAGTGTCAAAGAGTATCTGAAATATTTCTCTCCATGGGAAAACTAAAAGGGGAAGTCCTGGGAGGTGATCCTTCCATAGGATTGTCACATGCCCCTTCCAAGGCGCTCTCAGCTCATGCGGGTCAGTTCATCAAGCCTAAGCTGCCCGTGGTTGTCCTCTGAATGCCCACAGGATCACTCCAGCTTTTTGGTACTTGCTGCTGGGAAACAATGGTGGGAGAAGACTCTTGCTCTCATGTCCTGACTGTGGCCAGCCAAAGGCATCTGCTTGGCCACCATGGGCTCTTCCCCTGCTCTTGGATGGATAGATCTGCTGAGGCACACTCTTGTCCATGGAAGGAGGTGGCTCAATAAGCCACAGATGCATACCTGTGAAGGACTGAAGGTTCTGTCTGTCTTAATGGATGCCACAGGATGGAGACTCTGCACCATCTGGACAGCCGGCCTCTGGTACTCTGCACTTGCTGTCACCACACTGTAGGCAGGTGGGATGAGCGCTGACTGTCTCTGCAGCAGCTGCAGGATGGCTTGCACATCAGCAGTCATTTGCGATTCCAGCCTGGCGAGTGAGAGAGATGTGTGTTGGCAGGAATGACACAGACTGACAAGACCACGGAAGTCGGAACACACAACAACATTCCCACACAGCGTGCTGAAGAGGAGTAAAGAGGAGGGTTCTGGCACTGGTTGCATTTTCACAAAGCAATAAGCCAGGATTGTGGGGGATCATGGCTTAATGTGAATGAGCTGTAAGCTGGGGTACGTGGCCTGTTCAACACTACTTGTTTTCCCCTGCAAGTGCTAGTGGAAAACTACAAATGGTTGGTTCAACTTGCATTCAAAACCTGGGTTCCTGGCTTGTTGCAGCCTTGACAGTCAGGATTATAAATCAGGGTTTCATGACTTACCAAGTCTGTCTGGTTTTGGAGCAACAAGCCAGGAACTTGGGCTAGAACAACGTGCTAAGCAAACTATCTATGGCTGACCAGCTGGTTCTGCTAGTGGTAAAAGCCACATGGAAGTGAATGGATGGCGCACCCCTCATTCACAGGAAACCAGCATTCTGCCTCAATGTTCTGTCTGATCATGGTTGTAGGCAAGCGGCTTTCATAACATTCCATAGAATTGTTTTTAGCCTTATACAGCATTTTTAAAAAGCTATTTTAAACATAGAGTTCCTCCTCCATCTCCATTTCCACTGTCCTTGTCCCATTCTTCCTCTCAACATTCTTGCTGAGCAGCATCCTTTGCTCTATGGCTCTGCTCCATCCCCTCTAGGCTATTTTAAGGTCTCTTTCCCTGCACCACCCACTTACGCTGCCTTTGTCTAAAGCCTCCCCCTTCCCCTTCCCCTTCCGGTACGGTTGCACACACTGAGATTTCCACAAGCTTGCTGACACCTTGCTTGTGTGCACCGAGGGTGCTATCTTGGCCAAATAAGGATCCCCTTTGAAGAAAGAGTTCCTTCTTTAGTATACATGACTATTCTGTGATACTTTGAGAAAGCAAAAGTCAGAGAAATCCAAAATGGATTCAGATGAGTTTGGATTCCTATGAACTGTCCCATGGATTCCACAATGGCCTATCTTTTTCCAAGTTGTGGGGTTCCCACAGACTTGAGGAACCTTTTTATGACTTACTGTCCATAAATGTTACACCAACTTAGTTGCAAAAAAAAAAAAAAAAAAAAAAAGATCATGAAAACAAACTTTCCCCCACAGGCTATACCATGAAAGTATAGATTTTGGAGGGATTCAAACATTTTCCACTTTTTTCACTCTTTGGGAAATTTATACAAATTTGGTATTTACTAATATACATGTGTGCAAATGTGGATTGACACAACTGAGAATTAGTGTGAATAGAACAAAATTGTGGTTTAAAAAACCCTAATTTGATGAAGTCAACGTGCAAGGAAGCATACACAGGGTGGCAGTCTTATTGAAGTTCCAATTTTTCAATTCAGTTTTAATTTGTATGTGGAAAATGCAGTCTCTTTCACTTTCCGTAAGGCCAGGGGTCAAAAAAACCCACGAAAAACAAAAACAAAACAAAACGCCTGCACAGGAGGTGGGGGAGCATCTATTTATTTGGGGCGACAGATTTGCCCCCTTCAAAATCCCTCTAGTGTCGCTGGTGCAGGAGCTATCGGACAGCTGGCATCGCTACAGAGAAGATAGGTAGAAAATGCCAAAGCATTAACTAAGAGGCAGTTAATGTTTCTCCTGATAGAGCTGTTTCCACCAAGCTGATTGCCAGTGCCTGCCTCCTGCCAAACAGTAGATCGCCCAGGTAGGAGGAGCAACTCCTCTGACACCTGTCCCCAGGTGGCTAGCTGCTAGGCAAGAGCAGCAATGGCCACTCTCCAGGCAGCTCACATGTTCTGGGGCCTGACCTATGATGAGTTGTGCCACCGGAGTTCTGATGACGATCATGGTAGAGACAAACCCTAGACCCTGTCGTTGCTTCTCCGCATGTTTCACAGTCACTTCGACTGGCTTTGGACAAAAAGCCAAGCAAAGAGTGATAACAATGTGTGATTGCGTGGCGTGTCATGTGAACTCAGTCTATGGAGGCTCATGAAGATGCCTAAAGCTGAATCATCCAGCAGGCCGATTTACCATTGTAGTCTCAGCTTTGGCTGGCAACCGTTCTCTGGAAGAGGACTTGGGGTCAAAGCAGAGATCATGATAACACTCTGTCTAGCAGGCATATTTTCTTGATTCTACTGCAGAATCAGGACTTCTGCCCAAGATTGGGACCCTAGCATGGTATATGTTGGGAAGGCTAAGATCTGTGCCCATTCTAGTGTAAACATGAATAACAGGTATGACGGCTAGAAACAGATGCAAAGCAATAGCTAGAATTGTGCCATCATGGGAGAAACAAACTGGAAAGCTCCGTGTATGGGGCAATCATCCACTTTCCCTCATACACATTAAAACCTGGACACTTTCATAGCAGAAATAACAAGATTATGGAGCCCTCGCCCTTGAGACATCTATCTGTCTAGCTTTCCTTTTACTACACTTTAACTGAGGAGTAAAGCTCCCCCGCCTCAAGAGTGGCCTGGCTTGACTTAAGCATTTTATAGAATTCCTCTTCCCATCGTGGGTGTGAATTTTGCTTTCATTGTTCTAGTTCTCTGTTATAAATCGCATTTTATCATCAGCTCACACCTGAACAAAATCTGTTGTGAGCTGCTTGGGGGTCATGTTGTAAAAGACAGGCTAATGAAGAGAATGAACAAATGAATTTGTACGAGTGTAAATGCACAAACAGCCAAAGAAAGAAGGCAGTGCTTGAGAACCCAAAAAGTTCACTATGGATACAGTGAATCAGGTCTTCATTAGGTTATGGCCATATTGGTTTTAGATGGTTACTGTGCTACAGAGGATTATTTGGATTATATAAAAAAGAAGAAAAGCAAGGAGTTCTCTGCATGATTCCAAGTACCTGCTGCTTTGTAGCATATGCTATATTGCTGTATTCTATTTTTCATTGGAAATTAGGCCACTGTTATTCAGGTTTTATTGGCTCATAGAATGCAAGGGAAGTGGCCTGCCTTTATATCGGCTTTAAATTGCTTGTTAAAATGTACAGTCGACATGCCCTGGAGCACTCAGTGACTAATATAGACTGAATTTGTCAATTCAGGATTAAATTGCCCATTTGTCATGACAAAAGTGATGACAGTAATGGAATCCTGGGGAAACAATTTTGGAAAAAAAAAGTTGCATGCCTGAACAAAGCCAATTTCCAGTTAGCTGCAGCATTGCCCGCTTGCAAGCCCTGTTTGTGACTGCCTGCAAGATTTATTCCCCCTGTGAAGAAGAAGGCGGCAAGGCCCTGCAAACAGCTTCAGGCGGCCACCAGAGGGAGTGGGGAAAGTGCCCGGCTGTTGTGACCTCTGTGGAAATTGTGGGGGCGCCAGTGGGACAGGGACCTGTTTGTCTGTCTGTCCCTGTCAGGAGAGCACCAGCTTTTAGTGACCAGCTTTTGCCTGCTCTGCTTCTGCCAAGCCAGGGTTTCTGAACAGGGCTTAACCCTCTGCTTCTTCCATTTTAATTGCAGAAGGAAAGACATGGTTATCTTCCCTCAGGTTTACATTTCTCTGCCGCCCTTTGCATTCCATCACCCATACAAAAGGTGGTGCTATGGTAGAGCTGCATCACAGTGGATTTATGATTTCTCACAATGTTTCTGTGTGGAACGTTGTGGTTTAAAATTTATTACTAGACTTCCCTGCCACCTGTCCCCAAACTAAGCACTGTCAAACACTTGAAAGGGCTTGAAAACACCTTTCAGCGGCTCCCAAGGATAACAGCGTTGTGAAAAGTCTCACAAACGTCTGTTTGGAAGGCATGTGAGTGGGCGTTAGCTTGCATGGGATCTTCCCCTCTAATCTGCCCCTCAACTTCCTTGAGCTACAGATCTACGCTGTGTGGAGAGAACTCCTGACAGGAGGATGTGCACCCTGCCAGCTCTTTCCATCCTGCTGCTAGATGGGCCTCAATGGAACGAACTCTTTGATTTTGTGGGTTAATGTTTGGGGTTGTCTGCTTTGATTTCTACTGTGTTTTGCTTTGTAGTGGCCATATGGCAGGTTAGATTTGTTTTGTTCGTATCAGAGCACCATTTTTGGAACTTGCTATTAGTATGGGTTAGATGTATAATATATATGTGTGTTTTTGTGTGTGGGTGTTTTCATGTTATTTGTGTTTTTCCTCGTATTTTTGCCAAAGTTGTCAAATTCTGCTTTACAGGAAGGAAGGAAATACAGAGGAAATGTTTATAAACTAGAACGTGGGTAAATTAGTATTTTTACATTTTCATCAGAAAAGACTAGGAAATCCTCTGCTATTTCAGGTGCAAGCTGGGGTGTGTTTAGACAGAAGTCCTGCAACTCCCTATGGGACTTTTTCCTGCCTGAACATGCACAGGACTGCACTCGAAGGCATGCTAACTATTGCAGTGACCCTCCAAACAAACCTTGGACACAGATTCTGTTTGTAGCAAATAAAATGGTACTGAAACATCGCAAATGAAAGAAATGGAGCTTTGTTATTCTCTTGGTGACAATAATGCAAAAAACTCAGTTCATTCTTGCTAGCGTTTGACTTCAACACCTTTTGCAGGCAATTAGCCATCCTCAACCTGGTACATTCCAGATACATTGGTTCACACTCCCATCATTCCCAGCTGGCACTACCATTGGCCTAGAATGCTGGGCATTACAGTCTACCATATCCAGAGGGCACCAGGGTGGAGAAGGCTCCTATGGGATTCCAAGGTTCAGAATGGTTTTTCACAGACCAAGAATGGGCTTTTACTTGGGTCTGTCGGAGCAAATAGTTCACTGAAATCCAGTCTGTCAGCTGACAAGCCACCTCCAGTAACTGAGCATGGCTGCCCCTTCCTTAGAGTTTCTAGCAGACCAACACCATTTGAGCAACAGGTTGAGACAATAATACTTGAGTAAGTAAAGAGAGAAACAGAGAGACTTAACAGTTGCACATTGCCTTTTGATCAATAGTTTATTTACTTACTCATTTAAAC